CTACATATCTACATTTTATTAGCTTTGAGAAATGCATCACAAATGATTAGCAATTGACCAACACAAGACACAATTTGATATCGCTGACGGAAAATTCTCGAAAAAAAACCACACTGATCAATGGTACATGTTGTACAATATAAAGATCTGATCAATGGCAGGTGTTCTACAATAATGTGATCTAATAAATGACACATGTTCTATAACAAAGTGTTCGGATGAATGGCAAATGTTCAACAATAAAGTATTCTTATGAAGGACACATGTTCTACAATAAAGTATTCTTATGAATGACACATGTTCTACAGTAAAGTGTTCCGATCAATGACACATGTTCTACAATAAAGTGTTCCGATCAATGACACATGTTCTACAATAAAGTGTTCTGATCAATGACAAATGTTCTACAATTAAGTGTTCTGATGAATGACACACGTTCTACAATAAAGTGTTCTGATCAATGACAGATGTTCTACAATAAAGTGATCTGACGAATGGTACATGTTCAACAATAAAGTATTCTTATGAATGACACACGTTCTACAATAAAGTGTTCTGATTGTTCCGATCAATGACACATGTTCTACAATAAAGTGTTCTGATTGTTCTGATCAATGACACACGTTCTACAATAAAGTGTTCTGATTGTTCCGATCAATGGCACATGTTCTACAATAAAGTGTTCCGATCAATGACACATGTTCTACAATAAAGTGTTCTGATCAATGACACACGTTCTACAATAAAGTGTTCTGATTGTTCTGATCAATGACACTCGTTCTACAATAAAGTGTTCTGATTGTTCTGATCAATGGCACATGTTCTACAATAAAGTGTTCCGATCAATGACACATGTTCTACAATTAAGTGTTCTGATCAATGGCACATGTTCTACAATAAAGTGTTCTGATCAATGGCAGGTGTTCTACAATAAAATTATCTGCTCAATGGCACGTGTTCTACAATAAAGTTATCTGCTCAATGGCACGTGTTCTACAATAAAGTTATCTGCTCAATGGCACGTGTTCTACAATAAAGTGTTCTGATGAATGATACATGTTCCATATTAAACTGATCTGTTCAATATAAGAAGTTCTACAATTACGTGATCTAACCAATGAAACAAGGTCTACAATAAATTAATCTGATCAATGACACATCATGTTCTACAATAAAGTTATCTGATCAATGGCACGTGCTTTACAATTGAATTATTTGATCAATGTTATATGTTCTACAATATAAAGATCTGATCAATGGCAGGTGTTCTGCCATAACGTGATCTGATCAATGTTTCATGTTCTACAATTACGTGATCTAATGAATGGTACATGTTTTACAATAAATTAATCTGATCAATGGTAATATTCTACGATAAAACGATCTGGTCCTTAAGTAAAAACCCGAAACGAATCGATAATATAAGGAGTTTTCGCGATTTTTTTCACACTTTCGATTCGGTGCGGGTTTTTATTTATCTCCAATGCAACCGGAACTCCTCTAATTATCCCCCTTTTCCGCGTACCCAGCCGCTGGTGGCTCTGTATGATAACTTCCGTAAAGAAAGACTGCTTGCCGTCTTGAAGATATATTTTTCCGACTTTAGATATAAAATTCCGAGCGATGCGTGCATATTGAAACATAAATCATGCCAGGTTGTGAAGAAAACAAAAAATTGTGAATTAACGATAGGTAGGCATATAGCGAGAATATTTCGGTTGTTTTTAAAAAGAACGGGGATTCCTCAGAGGGAGTCGGCGGTGACCTAGATAATCGATCGGGAAGTTGCCGACCTTTTAGTTTTTATTATGCTATTGTGTGGTTTGTTGTTTTAAGTGCTATTGTCAAAGTATCAAGAGCCCACAAGTTCATGTGTAGAGAGGAGAAAATAGCGAGGATGTGTTCCGTTCAAACTGAAATTTTATTTGTTTCAGGAATGAATGTCTATGTAATTAACACAATTGAAATTTAAGTAAGAGGTTCAATAACACTTACTAGAAACTTGATTTTACAGTTCTAATGCAGTCATTTTATAGATACATTCTTCTATCTCCACCAAAAAAGTTATGGTTAACTTCCAGAAACTTGGTAAATTGGACTAGTTCCAAAACGGATCCGGACACAAATTCAGGAATGATTTTTGCCTTCTTTTTTCACTTATAAATCAGTAAAAAAATACCTGAGTCTATTTAACAAGCACAAATATATTTTTTGAAAAGTATTGAAATCAAAAATTTTTATATCTATTTTTAAAAGATACTGGTACAAAATGTACAATTTTGTGATTACCTTGTTCCCATTAAAATAAAATCGGGGTCAGGACTCAATTTCTTTGGTTTCAAAATTTCCTATTCAGAATTTTCAAATTTCGATTTACAAAATATGAATTACATTCACATGACAATATTACAAGGTATATTTTTCTTAAGCTACCTAGAATGTTTAGAACCTTATTGAAACAAGAGTACCGAGACTGAAGGCGATTTCTTTGTTACTGTTCATAAAAATATTTAATCATATCAAAACAATAAGCTCTGTTATTTGATCATAGTTTTGATCCATATAAATATATCTGGCTCCTAAATTTATCATTTGGCAAAAATATAAAGTTTAACGAAATGTTTGATGCGAGAATTTTGAAAGCTGGTGTGACCCCTGTAACTACCGGTTGTATGGTAATACAGTTTATCACGTCATTATTTTCATTATTTATAAGTGTAAAGAAATATATTTTTATTGATAAGAAAAAAGTTTTTTACTGATACACACGGTTGAGTGCTCTTACGTATTTGATTTGTGAATTTAAATTGGTTATCAGTGTTAAAAACTAACTTTCAAATAAAAAGCAAACTAAAGCACAACATAAAAGTCATTGAAGTTTGTCGGAGTGCTATGCCTGGATGAATACAAGTTATTGGATATTTCATTTGTACCAGAGGGGACAGAAACTTCATCTTATGATCAGCGTTATCCAACCTTAGATGTCACAGAGATAAATGTATGGGTTTGTATGATATGTCATAAGAAAAAATCGATATGAACATATGTACAAAACAAGCAAATGTTTAGTGTTGTATCATATACATAGAAAACGGAAAGTCCATGTTAAGTTACAATACAAACAATTTATATCACACCTTTGTTAGGATACACTATGAACATTTGATCAATAAAAATGTTCCTTCATATGTACAGCCCAAACCTAGAGCAGCGCCCAAGGTTGTGTAGTCGCTACCTATAGTTGTCCACCATTAATGTTTGTGGTGCCCTTCTAGTAGATAACAGAGTATCTAAAAATGGAGATTGTGTTATTTGTATATTTTTGATAAGGTAGTGGAACAGCAAATAAACTTCTAGCAGAAAAAAGGAAAGCAAATATTTTAAGTAAAAATTAGCGTCAACAAGTAACAATACTTTATGTGTAACAATTAACAAGAATTGAAAATAAACATTTTTTTTTCATATTTAGAAGCAGGCTCAAAATTAATAAAATGAATTCATGTAAAACATTCTGCTGGTATGATATATTTTTGAGGGATAGTATAACGAAATATGTTTCTTGCATGTGTTCGAAATCGATTCTTCTCTGTCAATGACTGGTAATCTGTAACAAAGCCGAGAATGAGATGTTACAGAATGTCAGCCCGTGACTAAGATGAATCTAGCACAGTACGAGAATATAGTGTATAACACTGCATGATTATTTGTGTCAGATTCTAACGAGTTCCACAGTGAACAAAATGTAAACAAGTGATACACGTATAATTCAGGGTAGATGGTAATAGGTTTTTAATATTATAAATATCGTGGTTAGGGCTAGGAATAAGCTTTCTAGTGCAGATATTTTCCAGTGGTTGCAAGAAAACTTCAAGAGATCTTTATTGATACTTTTTTTGTGAATGTATGTTTAGTCAGATGCAGTTCGATAAAATGTCTGCATGAGAGTATTGTCTACCGTTATTTTATCAAACAAAAAGAATCACTATTTCTAAGTAATGGTATCAATTTAAAAATAATATTACATTGGATTGAAAGTTGAAACTGTGACATCATTCCTGTCATCAGATAAAAATAGACAAGTGAGATAATGGTCTGAAACAATGGGATATTAATCCATTTTTGAAATGTTGATAATTTAGCGGCATTTGAAAAGTGTTTTTTTTCCTTTACAATACTACGAAATAAATGATAATCTCAATCAGCGATAGGCAGAGAAATCTAGAATCGGTTATTCTAGGGAGGTGTTGGTGCCTTGAACTTACTTGCATAATCCTGGAACATTGATAACATTTTCGTTTATCGCTGAAATAGTGTAGCTATGTCTATTGCTATTACACTACCAAACACCAAACAAAGAATCACTATCGCAAGAACACCTATTCCCGCTGAGGATTTCCTTCCGTCCCAGGAACTGGTGAATTTCCGAAGGTAGATTGACGTTTTTTCCTTAGGAACAACAAGAGTAGCCTTGAGCTCGTTTACCATTTCTAACATTCTTTCAGGATGATATGATGACGTCGTACAACATAAACAATTTAAGAAAGATGAACTTGCATTTGAATATGTTTCGCTGGCTGTAACGTCATAAACTGTATTTGATGACACATTGATAGTGCTTGTTTCAGTTTCCAATACAGTAAATGTTGCTGAGGGAGTGGTATTACTTCCAGTACTTTCCGAAGTATTGACGTTATGTGTTAAATTTCTTGAAACAGAACTGATGACGTCACAAGTCGCATTGTTTTCTGTGTCAGAAATAGTACTACGAAAACTTTCCTCTGAGCTCGTGAACATCGATGTTTCTGAAAAATGATTTTAAATTATTTTGATTTTAAAAAGATGATTTACAAGACTGATAAATAGCGTTGGATGTGTATCCAACGTGTCATACAAATGTCGATCGTAAGTAAAATGGAATTTCAGGCATATCACCTAATGTACATACCAAGCCTTTTCGAATGAAATTGACGCTAATTATATAACATGAACATGTTCGAATATCATGGACGCATCATCTGATTCAAAGAAGATGAGTAATTACCGTGAACAATTGGCATTGTTGAACTCTCAGAACTGTCTGATGTCTTGGAGTGATCCTAATAGAAAATAAGTATATATCAATCAGTTTGTACTTCTGAAATGTACGCTTGTATGTTATAAAGAATTATTAACCATGTTTGCTGAACCGTCTTGCTATGATTATCAAAATAGATGAATTCTAGATGCTTGCTTTATGAGTCAATTTCATACTATATATCAATCCCGGTAGTTGATGGACAATAACAAACATTGAAGCATCCATTGTTTTTAAATGATTTTTCAACTACGTTTTGAATGAGACAAAGTTGGGACGGAAGATGAAATAAGTTCATATGTAATCCTAATTTGGGTTTTATTTTTTCCTAATGTTATAAAAATTTACCTGTGCCTCGTGACTAGTAAAATTTCCGATGCCGATTGTTAACGCTGACATGGACCAAGCTTTCTCGCAAATTACGTGACCTCCGAACGGTGACGTGTGCTCTATATATACAACACCAGAATTCAGATTCTCTAACCATGCTGTGGAAAACATTGATTGTCCTATTCTTATCCATGGAATAAATGTGTCTGAATAATTGAAGGTACTGACTTCTAGTGAATTCATTACAAGCGCAATGGCACAAAAGTCAAATCCTGATGGAATATAAACAGTGTACTGTCTGACGTAATGAGAGACTGGTGTCGGGAAGAGCATTGCTGGATCACCATTTCCAAAACCAACAGGGAAGTGAGCAACGAGTACTGGTTCATCGGATATAATGTGAACGCGTTCACACGTCATTTGGTATAAGTATATTTGATGCGGAACAACAAAATGATTAATAACAGGTCCACATCCAAATATTGAAATGTTTGCGCCACCAGCTGCGGCAACAAATTTTATATCATCGTGTAAATAATCTTGAGAGTTTCGGCGAACGATGATATATTCGTTTCCCCATGCGGTTAAAGGCGGTACAATGTCCGCTACTTGATCACGACCTCCTCCTCCATTTTGTACTGCGGTTAAGGGACTACTAGATATAACAGTAAACCTTTTTCTGTTTGGAGATATAATTTTTACTCCACTCAGGTCAGAAGTTGACTGGAGTTGGAAAGTTTGTGATTCTTGTAAAGTCAAGATCATAACGTCACAAGCACTATAACTATTTCCGTCAAATACTATCGAAGAAGCAAAGTACTGAGGAAACAATATTTCGATAGCTGTATTGTCCTCCATGGCGACAATGACAAACTGACACAAACCGTCGGAATAACAGTATGTAATTATGACATACTCGGTACCAAGTTGAGTAGCGTTTCTCGTAAAATACATATCCGCGCTGTTATAAGCAGTTGAAAGTCCCGTGATAATCAATTCGGTGTCATTTGAGTGGAGGAGGATACCTTGACCACTTTTGCCTGTTCCTTCTACTTCGAATTTTGCTGTATCGATATCTATGACAATGATCTCTTTTGGTCCCACATACTCTTGCCTCATGGGGAATGATGGTAACCGAGGAGCAGATATATTCACCTGTACACCGGTACTGCATGGATTAACAATGTTGATATAAAGCTTGACGTTATTAACACCATTCTCAGAGAAAGCAATTGCCATCGTTTCCAATGAGATAGCTGTGGAAATCAAGATAAACTGAGTTAATGGTATTTGAAATATGAATTGTCATGAATAGTTATATTGATGTGGGTGACGAAAATCTGTCATCTAGATAAAGCACTTGTACAATTCAAAAACTTTATATCAATGTGGATCTGTATTTGTTCTGTTTTTGTATACGTAAGTCCCTGTACGTGGTGCATATGTGCAGGTAAGAATTATGGAGACCTTTCAAAACGAACCAAAAACATAAGGAGAGCTAGCTTACATTTAGTGTTGTAAGCAACACACGTCCCCTGCCGTACCATAATTTACATTTTTGAAGCAACATTTTACATACCTTGATTGGAACATGACACGGAAATTCTAAGTAGTATGTAGCCCAATATCTTGTACATGTCGATTTCTTTCAGAAGTTTGTATGTATAAAATTGTATTGATCAGAAATAGATTACTGATAGAAGTACATTCTTCTTTGCAGAAATTGTCAAAATGGAAACGAATGTGCGCGATAAATGTCTATTTTCAGGCCTGGTCAATGAACATTGTTATAAATGTAGATATTGTGAATTGACAACTCAGTAATATCATAATTCAATTACAGCAAGTGAAACGCAATCAGACTCTCGATCTGATCATAAACTGATATAAATTGCAGTGTATCAAGTTTCAACCTATTCGGTCATTCCTAACTCAAGTTGCCATCAGGAAATAAAACTTTTTTAGCAACAGTGACCTTTGTAGCTGACCATTTGACACAAAAAAGCAATCCCACACTAGGTCTCCTGCTAACCTAAAATTGTATCAAGTTTCAAGTTAATTGGCCATCCCTAACTCAGATTAGTTACCTGCGCATGTACATTAATGTTGGTCCATTAAACTATTAATTAAAAGTATACATTGTAACAAATTCCCAAACTTACGACACGGTTGACGAAAGTCGCATAATCATACCTAAAATCTTATTTCCGTCATTACACAATTAACATTGTACAATACTTTCATATAAATATATGTAAGTGGCATGTGTTTAATTTCCATCATCTTCTGACTTGTTACAGTGGTCGTTGTCATAGACGCGTGTACGACGAACTCAAAAGAGTTCTATTCATGTTGAGTGATATGAACATTTCTGCTGATTTTTCAAAAGTGCAACCTTGTAGCCTATATAGAAAGGGTGGTAAATTGTCCTTTAAAAATCAAATCATGATAACTATTCAGATGGACAGTACATTATGTTTTAGATCATGGTTTAAATAATGCTTTTTCAGACAATATAAATTTGGTACCGCACTTGTGTCTTTTAGAGGTTACACTTTTCGAAATTTGATGTCGTTGTTAATGTTGCTCCAAATTCCAGTCACGGGACTTAAGGCTTATTGCATATGGATCAAAAACGTCACTATCATGTCGGGTGCGATACGTATCAATCATATCAGTGTCTATTAGGCCTGAAAACCGGGTAGGGCATGATTACTTTACGGTTTGGAAGTAAAGGTGGTTTATTTTCAACAGTAAAATACTGGAAAGCAAAATTAACGATTATGCATGGGAATCAAAAAATATTTTAAGCAACAGTATCCTAATCGACCTTCCCTAACTCAAGTGAACATTTGGAAACCACAGACAGACAAACAGACAGACAGACAGACAGACAGACAATGTCCCCTAATAAATAATAAAATAACAATTTATTTATGCATCATATGAGTTTATCTTACCATTACGCATACAAAACCACAGGAAAACGCAGGTACTGATATAGAGTGCCATTGTAGTCAGTCCTCATTCATGTAAATATCATTCACAATTTACGATGTATTGGACGGTCACTACGCCAAATTTGCTGAGAAGTTCTGTGAAGAGTAAAAAATATCAGTAGGTTTTCATATGTAAAAGCATTTAATTGTTTTCTTTGCTGGTTCTATATTTTTATATTGACACTCATGTCTGATATTGAACTGCGAACTATGTATATTCATTGTAATTTCCTACCTTCCGATAGAACGTAGAGTCAGATACAATATATAGACTGCATCAAACAGCTGTTTCGTCAGTGATGTTCCATGTTTAAAGTGTTGAAAGCTAGTAGGCGACTGAGGTTGGTAAAAAACATGCCAAAGGCAACATTTAAACAATGCAATTTTTCAAGTGTTATATACGTTTTTGTGACAGAGTTCAACATATTCGGAAAAAGATTTTTAAACCAGAACAAACTACTTAGGGATTCATTTCCATAACGATAAGTTCCTTTTTGTTTCAACCTCAAGCATCACCGAGCTACCAAATAGACGAAACAGATGGATGGTGCAGTTAATACTCACATGCCACATATCGTATATATATATCTATATGCTTATTGTTAAAAAGGTATTTACTTATACACTTATGTGTCTTTTTTGCTATACTATAAAGAAATTAAGAGAATATACTTGTATTATCATTTAGTATGACTAAGAAATAGATATATTTGTTCTTCTTTTACATCAATAGAAAACTATTTGAAATGAAAGAAATAATCGTGTAAAATTAAAGACTTACTTCAATACTCTGGATCAGCTTTCAGTAAGATCGTTCCTATGCGTGATACTTGAAAATGATTCGTTTGAGCACTCATTTTTGATATATATCGACAACGAAATAAATAATTAACAATGCAAGAGATTCACATATTGATTTTTAAAGCCTGTTTGTTATATTCTGTTTGATTAATGTACCGTTGTCTATATGGAAGTATTTAACAACAATTTGGAAACGTACATAGTTGCTTTTCAAAAGCACATGAATTGAAAACGTTTTAGAGCGTCTGCTTATCTCATAGTGAAAACGTATATATACAATAAAGTGCCAAGCGATCCTGTGAAAAAAACATGGCATTTAAAAAACAATTAAGAAATGGGTATGAATAGTGACATCAATCAACCAATAGTTACCACAGTATAATAATATAAAATTAATGAGCCGTTGTATATAATTACTTATACTGGTCTGGAATCGATGAAACGTCAAAATCAAATATCCAGTCATGGGGTAAGAAAATGGAAAGGCTCCCCAGAGATTTTATAGTATTGTATTTTATTAAAACTGGAGAAGGATTTTATAATGACACACAAGGGAAGTTTTGAGTTAGATAGAGTAAATATGAATAATGAACTGCTTCATACAGTTGTTTTCTCAAGGATTCGTGAGTGATGCTAAGGGATGTTACTAAGTGGAAACTGAAATTGATCGAAAGAAATTAAAAAAAAAAAAAAAAAAAAAATTGTGCGATGCAGCAGCCCATTACTCAATCTATTTCGTAATTTCGTATGACTGATAAATACCATCCATATAATAATTAGTTGATTATTTTAATAAAAGTTTTTTTCGAGAATCCGTTCAAACATGCTTACTGTCATAGACAGTACCTCCTCCTAATGTCAACCATACCTCTGTACCAAGCCCCAAAATAAACGACACAAATATATGATTCAGGTATGGAAGGCTTTATTCACTGGTGAGCATTTTGTACAATATTTGACATCAGTTATTTACTTCATGTAAATGTCAATGTAAATATCATATATCCCATATGATTGTTGTAATTGCAATACTTTGTCTGGTTGATAAATAAAAATACGGTAATGAATTATGACATGTCATTCTTATAGACACGTATACAAATGGTTGAAGAATGACAATTCTTAACAATGGAAATTCAATACAGAAATATGAATTATCTATATGAGGACTTTATAATACTGCACCCATCTATGACACTGTTCATTTTATGATTATGTCTACTGAAATAAATAATTTACGATCGAAACAGAAACCTTAAAACAAAAACACAAAAATAACCCACGTATGTCCTTGGCAAAATCCATAACTGATTATGCCCGCCGTCATTTTGATACGAAGTTCATGCTACAGCAATGTGCTGTACGTGTTATGATATAAAAAGCATTGATTCGTCCGTGCAACCAACTAGCAAACCAAAGTCGGTATATAATTAATAGAATCTTTCACCCCCTTTGGGATGAGACAGGGGGATCTCAACCCGAGGGGTGGATTATTAAGTTGTCAAACACGAGGTTTGCTGAGTGTTTGACGGCTTAATAATCCCCCCGAGGGTTGAGATCCCCCTGTCTCATTCCAAAGGGGATGAATGATTATTTTTCTTTTACCCTGTTCCCCCGCTGATTGTAAAATACGAAATAGAATGTTTGTAAACAAAAACTCGTAGACAACGTATGGATATAATGACGAGGCCGTCTCAACCACGTCACGCTTAATTGTGTTATCCCTCACAAAATAATTCCCATTAACGGTACAGTAAAACATAAAAAGGCATAATATTAATTATAAAAACAACATTAATGTGAAAGTATGGATGAGATGACTTCAATATATACAAAATCAACACATATTATTAAATCGTTATTTTACTATGACGTCATTTACATGTCTAGTTCCACTTCCGGGTCAAGATAGTGACGTCACATTATTGTTGAGAACGCGCAAGGATCGCGTGTAGCTTGTCTCAACCCTAGGGTGAGATAGAAAAATTTCACACCTGTAAAAACTGTGGATATCCCTGTCCGGGGTAAGAGAAAAAAATCCTTCACTTGCATTCGGGATATTACGTTTACACAAGGAGAAATACGAATGAATGCACTTCTTATTTTTCTTCTTCTTAACGGTGTACGTGATGTTGATAGAGTTGTCATGAAAAAAAACATACATATATAGACATGATGACATCCAGCAAATAACATTTTCTATCACTATTCACCGGTTGTGTCATAATGTGATATCTCTCTCAAATTTCTGGATATTTCAGGTGGTCCTCTTTGTTAATCAACTGTTATCAAATTTGCTTAAACCAGCGTCTACAGGTAGGTGTTTGTCTTCAAATTCATTAGAAATAGAAAATATTACTTTTCCTACCAAACATCAAAAGTCAAAGGCTATTTAGTTTACAGTCGATTAAAATGCATTTTCAAGGTCAGGCTGTCACA